AAAGAAAAAGGATGAGAAAGGCATATTGTAAACAACAGGAGGAACAATTCAGGCTGTTTTGATTTAGATTAGAGTTGTGGTTCTGTCAATGGATTTTTGAAATGCTGTTTATGTCACGAAACTGGATGAAGATGACAAGAATTGCACACACTTAGAAGTATCATTTCCAAATCAAAGGAAGTAATCATTCCAACTATACTCTGAATTGGTCAGGCTGGGTCATCGCTCTTTAAATCAGACAAACTGGGAAAGAGTTAAAGAAGAAGAAAAAGATGGAACAGGGAAACTAGACAGATTTAGTCTTGCAAAATACAACTGAGGGGAGAAGGAGATGCAGTGGTATCACACAGAAGACCAAGACCTGTTCTCTCTCATTTCAGAGTGCAGAAGCCAGAATAATGGACTTAAATCGCAGGAAGACAGATTCCAGATGAATATCAGGAAAAACTCCCTAATGGTAAGAGCATTTGACAATGGGAACAGCAACAGCATGAAATAGGGGACTCTTATTTGGTGCATGTTTTTAAGCAGAGATTGAATAGCTTAAAGGGATTCTTAATTGGGATTCCTGCATTAAGGAAGAGAGAGGATTCAATGGCCCTATCGATTCCATAATTCTACGAAATTCTAGAAAGTTCTATACAGTAAGCCTTTTAGAAATATTTTCACCTTCCAGAAAATAATAGATGTGAGAAAGAACTCAAAAGTACACCTTAGTTGCAGTAATATTCCAAATAAACATCTGGAAGTATTTAGATTCTAAAAAAGATACTACTTTATTAGATTTATATCCCACCTTTTCTCTAAGACAGCATTTCTTAAACTTTTTTCTCTCAGGACCCCTTCCCATGTTTAAAAATTATGGAGGACCCCAAAGAAGATTTTGTTTGTATGGGTTATATCTATCAATATTTACTGTATTAAAAATTAAATTTGACGTTCACTGCCACTACCACTTCTCACGATTGTTTGATGGGATTTTAATATTGTATTATTTTTCAACATAGCAAATAATTTTGTTTTCGCGGATCCCCGAGAGGGTCATGGGGGATCCCAGGGGTTCTAGGACCACACTTGAAGAAACGCTACTCTGTGAATTCAAGGTGGGGTCCATAACTCTTCCTCCTTCAATTCTGACCTTGCAACAGCCATTCAGGGAGGCAGCTTTGACTGAAAGATAATGACTAGCTCAAAGTCAGGATGGACTTGAATCTGAATTTCCTTACTGCTAATCAAGTACCTTAATCACTACATCACACAGTACTTGATGCATTAAAAATATTCCTAAAGCTGGGTTGCATTTCAAGGAAATGCTTTTCTTGGAGAGCAATAGAAATACTGCTTTTGGTGAAGATCCAAGTCCATGGAGGACCTCTGTATTGTAGGCAATAAAGGATGTAATAAATAAATGTAAACAAGTCTCGATTCAATCGAGGAGGCCTCATGTGAAAATAGCCACTTTCAGTGCTGAAAATATGGACTAAAATCTCTGCAGAAGGGTAAGAATACTGTTTCCACCCAAAATCTCCCTTAGTTTCCTAAATGTAGCAAGTGAGATAACTGGAAATGATGGAACAGAAACTTGAAGGAGGGGGTACTAAAAGTTTGTCATAATAGGTTTTATCCCAAAGGACTAAATATTCTGCTTTGGCCTACTAATACATTATATTGAGAGAACAAGCTGTAACTCTCCTATAGTCTATCATTCAGAGTAACACAATTCATTTTCAGTATCATATTTAATCAGAGTTATAGAAATTATTAAGAAATAAGTTTATATGAAACAAGTTTTAAAGAAACACAGAGAAACTCTTGTTTAATCAGGAAGGAAGTATCAAATTGCTATGGAGAAAACTTACATTATTTAACATTTCTATTTCGGGATGGTCTGTGTAGGAGCAATCTTTCCAAATTGAGAAGAAAATCTTTTGGCAAATCAGGAATGCACAACTATCCTAAGTTATATTTAGGCTTTGATTTTTGGGGTCCTACTCCAAAAAATAATGGGTGGAACCAGGCCAAAATCTGAACATTATTTTATTTATGGTTGATTATGTGCCATCAAGTCATTTTTGACTCCTAGTGACCACATAGATTTACTCCATGACAATCTATCCTTAACCTGTTCTTCCAAGTCTCCCAACAGCACACTCATCACCACTGTCACTGAGTCCATCCACCTTGCTGCTGGTTGTCCTCTTCTTCTCTTTCCTTCCATCTTTCCTAGCATCAGAGCCTTTTCCAGAGAGCTGGGTCTTAACATAATGTGTCCAAAGTAGGATAATTTGAGCCTGGTCATTTGTGCCTTGAGTGAGAACTC